CGCCGGCCGCCGTCGTCGCCACCGCGAGCGTTCGGCACGCCACGTCGCTCCACCACATCGTGTCGCTCGGCGAGCGGCTCACGCTCAGGGACGCCGACGCCGTCTTCGTCGCAGTCGGCAGCGCCGTCGCCGTTACGGACGCCGTCGGGGTCGGCGTGGGCGGCGGCGTCAGCGTCGGCGTCACCTGCCGGGTCTCGGTCGGCCCGTAGTGCGTCGGACTGTAGCGCGTCGCGCTCAGGCTCGGCGTCGGCGTCGGCGGCGTCGGCGTCCGCGTCGGCGTCAGGCTGCGCGTCGGCGTCAGCGTCGCCGTGTAGCTCAGCGGCGGCGTGGCGGGCGTGCGGTTGCACCCGTCCACGTGCGGCAGGTACACCGGCAGGCAGTCGCGCCCGTAGCCGCCCTCGGCGCAGCGGCAGCGGCAGGAGCCCGACATCGACTTCGTCGCGGCGGCAAAGCAGCTCACGTCGGCGTCGCACGCGTCGCACGTCACGGGGCGGAAGTCCCCAACGACGCCGGCGGACCGGTACTCGATCGGCAGCAGGGCCCGCCCGTTGAGCGTCAGGCACCCCACGACGAACCTCCGGCCGGCGCCCCCAGGCGCAACGGTGCCGTCCATCACGGCGCTGCCGCTGCCGGCGTTCGCGTGCAGCGTGAGCGTGCTCTGCGCGAGCTCCGCGCTGCGCGGGTAGGGCGGCAGCGACAGCAGCCCGCCGCCGACGGCGTTGCCGCGCACCGAGAGCCAAGACCCGGACGCGAAGGACGCCGCCTCCCGCAGCACCAGCAGCGCGCCGTCAGTCAGCGCCCCGGTGTTGTCGTTCACGACGACGGCAGACGCGTTGGCCGCCACCCCCTTGTCGAACACCAGCCCGCGCGCGGCGAACACCCGGCTCCCCGCCACGCGCAGCACCGCGCCACCCGCCGCCTCCACGCGCGCGCTCGCGTAGAGCGCGAACTCGCCGCCAAACACGACCGCGTCCAGCGCGACCCCGCCGCCGACGAGCTGCAGCGCGGCGCCCTCGACCACCAGCGTCCGCCCGCCGGCCATCACGCTCACGAGGGCCACGCCGGACACAACCAGCACGGACCGCACGAGCCGCAGGTCCGACAGCACCAGCACCGGGGCGTACGGCGAGGACATCGAGCCCGGCAGGTACACCAGCGGCGTCGGCTTCACGCTCACCAGCAGGGAGTCGGTGATTGTCAGCGCGGACCCCGCAGGGAACGCGCCTTTCAGCACAATCGCCCCGTTCATTGCCTCCACGCCGCACACCGACAGCTCCACCGACCGCTCCTCGTCGCCCTCCGCCGCCCCCGCACCGCGCAGCCCCCCGCCGCCCATCACGTACAGCACGGCGCCGTTCCGCAGCGACACGTTCTGAACAACGACCCGCACCCCCGCCCGCGCCATCCACGGCACGTAGACCACCGGATGCACGCCGTCCAGCACCACGTGGCGCAGCCTCACCTCGCGCGCGCCGTTCGGCACAACGAACACCGACCGCACCGTCACGCCCTCGAGGACGAACGCGCCCGACGCGGGGCCACCAGCGGGCGGCAGCGCGGGCTCCCCCACAGGCACGCACGCCTCGCCGTACCCGCCGCCGCCGCACGCACACACACACGCACCGTCCCGCTCGCTCGCGGACGCCGTCCCGGGCGCGTAGCAATACGTGTCCTTGTCGCAGGCGTCGCACCCAACCACGTCGAGGCGCGCGGCGTCGCCAAAGCCCGCGGCGGCGTACTCCTCCGCCGTCGACAGCGCACGCCCACCGGCGCGGTTGCACGCCACCCGCAGGTGCGCCTCCGCGGCGAGCGAGAGCTCCACCGACAGCATCCGCGAGAAGAGCCCCCGGTTGCGCACGAAGCTCAGCGTACTCCCGCTCGCTGTCACGGCGCCGGCGGCGTAGAGCATCACCTTCGACGCGCTGTCGTGCACGTTCTCCTTCGCCAGCAGCATCGCCCCGCCGGCCAGGCGCACCGTCGACGAAAACGCCACCGCGTGGTCCTGCGTCGACGCGAAGTCGCTCCGCACGAACGCCAGAGTGGAGCCCGACACGCGCACCTCCCCGCCCACCGCCACCGCGTGCCTGCACAGCAGGAAGTCGCTGTCCACAAACGCGAGCACGGAGCCGCCGCTGGCCGCCACACCGCCCTCCACCGACACGCACAGCCCCAGCGCGGTCTGCACCGAGAGCCGGTCCAGGTACAGCGCACCGCGCGACGGCAGCGCGACGCCGCCGACCACCAGCACGCCGACAGCGTCGCCGAACACCGCCACCACCTGCGTGCGCGCGACGGTCAGCACGCTCCCCGTCAGGCTCACGCCGTACAGCACGAGGCATCCCGACGCGCCGCCGAGGTCGTAGGCGCCGCGGTACGCAACGCGCGTCTCCGCAATCAGCACAGAGTCCACCACCGTGACGCGCGAGCCCGGCGGGTATCGGTTCGCCAGCAGCACGCCGCCGCCGGAGCGCGACTCAAGCCCGCTCACCAGCACCTCCACCTCCACCTGCAGGCCCGCAGGCGGCTCAGACGCCCACCCGACGACGTACAGACTCGCCCCGCCCACGAACGTGCAGTTTGCCAGCGTCACGTTGCGCGCGCTCCCAGACATCGCAGCCACGTCCACCACGACGTCTGCGGCGAAGGTCGCCCCCACGTAGCACACCGCCGACGCCCCGAAGCCGACGCTCACCTCCTCATCCACCCTCACGTCCCGCACGCACGGATCTTCATCGTTCCAGGGGACGCCGACGGGCAGGCACGCGTCGCCGTGGCCGCCCTCCGCGCACGTGCAGGCGCAGCCGGCACCCGAAGTCGTCGTCGTATACGCGGGGAAGCACGATGCCGCGAGGGCGCATGGGTCGCTGCAGCTCAGAATCGTGGCGTTGTACGCCGACGGGACGATGTAGACCGCCTCCTTTTCGCCGTTCACAGTGTTGCAGGCGGCCACAATCGATCCGTTTGAGAGGTCGCTGGGCCATGTCGGCTATCCGCAGCGCCGTCGGCGTGTTCGTGTCGGAGCGGAACTCGTTGCGGGACACGGACAGCGCGGAGTTGCGGAGGCTCAGCGCCCCGCCCAGGAAGGCGAAGGCAAGCCCAGGGGACCCGCGACAAAGGTTGCCGCTCACCTGCACCCAGGAGTCGTAATACACGTAGGCGTTTGAGGCCACGGCGAAAACGGCTGTGGCCCCCTGCATTAAGTTGCCCCCAAACACGACCGCTGACCGGGACTCCACACGCAACGACCACGGGAATAACATGAAGTACAATAGCGGCTTCGACACAACGTTGCCTTGCACCACCACGGCAGAGTTGTTCAGCACCTCCAGCGACGCGGACGCCCAGGACCCCCCAAGCCGTACCACAACACTATTGGCGCCGCCCGTAGCAAACGTGTTGCGAACCACGGCAAACAGGGAGTCCCACGACACCCTCAGCGAAGAGTCGACAATGTAGATGGCGCTCGAGTACGCCGCCACGGGCCGAAAGGTGTTGCCGCTGAACACCACCGCGGAGTGGTTGGCGACCCACAGCTCATTCATCGCGACACACGACGGGCTCCCGAGGGTCAAACCCGGCGGCGAAACCGTCCGCGTGAGCGTAAATTGGTTCCCGCTGATGGTGATGTTTGTGCGCGGGGGAAACGCGCCTTCTGGGCTCAGCAGCGCGTCGTCGAACGTGTTGCCGGTGACGGCGATGTTCAGCGAACCCACGGCGGAGTCCGCGCTGCCCGCCAGCACCAGCACGGCGCCGTCCCTCCACGTGCACCCATCGAATGTGACGTTCGCCACGTCGCCCGTCATCGCCCCAGTGAGCACTGTGAGGCTCATGCCGCCCCCGCTGAAGGTCACGTTGCGGTAGCACAGCCACGACAGCCCGCTGCCCACCGCCTGCGTCACCTCGGGGTACTCCATGTCGCTGACGCACTCGCCAAACGCCGGTGGTGGCGGCGGTGGCGGCGGTGGTGGCGGGGGCGGCGGGCCGGCAGGCACAGGCGCCGGGGCGCACACCTCGCCGTGCCCTCCACTGGCGCACTCGCACCTGCAGCCGCTCACCGCCGTTGTCAGCGCACCGAAGC